GACACTCATGACACCCCGAATGCTCATGGCTAGTTGGCTCCTTCTTAGAACACCTGCACACTCCTGCTCCCTCCCAGGAGAGTTGTGTGATTACCAGGCAGCAGTTTTGTTTCAAATTTGCGTGCACCAGCTGTCCACAAAACTAAATCTTAAATAAGTTTATTAACAGTATGTTGAAATAATGAAATATGAGAACAAACAATCATTTCTAGGGAAAACTAGGTCAGATGACTTGGAAAGAAATGCATGGTAAAAATTTAGGCGAGAGAGCAGTACAGGATTAAAAAAAATAATGAAAACTGTGCCTTCTGTCTTCATAGTTGTCTTATGTCTTCACTCTACAGAAACCAAAGCTAGTAATCAGAAAATGCATTAGGCCTATGGCTTAGCAAGAGAGAACCAGAAACTCTTATTCGTGAAACCATACCAAAGAAAGGCCTCAAACCTCTATTAGAATGTTGGTGAATGAATATACTTTCATGTGCATTAAGTCAAAATACAATGTTTAAGGTTTCTATCATGGTTTGTGTGTCCCTCCTCGACCTATCACATCAGGTAAGTGGGCTTCTACCGCATTTTGGAGCTAGAATTGATGCACGAGATGAAGGAAGAGGAATCACGGAGAATTGGTGATACTTGTCACTTGCACAGGCTGGAGCTGACTCTTCTGCTCCTTATGCCGTTCTATTCCACTTTTAAGAAGCAGCTGAAACACTAGACTTCTACTCCTTGCCAATCTTTGTCCTCTCTGGCTCTCTCACCCCAGTAATTCACTGTGAATACCTGTATTACCACAGTTACCACAATGCTGCACAGTGTACAGACCAGCCTATATAAAAAGCTGTATCACTCTCAACTCCTTGAAGGGATCACGTGCTTCTCAATATTTTTTATAACCCAGAGCTGTCACACAGTAGATGCTCAATGCTTGTTGAATGAACAAATGAAAGAATAGGCTATCTACTTTAATCTTTTAAACTGAGAATATCTTTGTAAACATTTCATGTTACATCCATCCTATGCTGTTATGGACTGAATGTTTGTGTCCTCTCCCAAAATTTGTATTTTGAAACCCGAACCCCCAGCGTGGCTGTATTTGGAAATGAGGCCTCTAAGGAAGTAAGGCTAAATGAGGTCATTAAGTGTGGGGCTCTGATACAACAGGACTAACGTCCTTACGAGAGACAGCAGAGAGCTTGCTCTGCATGCACAGGCACTGAGGAAAGGCCATGGGAGGATGTTGTGAGAAGGCGGCCGTCTGCAACCCAAAGGGAGAGCCCTCAGCAGACACCAACTCTGTTGGCACCTTGATCTTGGACTTCCCAGCCTCCAGAACTGTGAGGAAATAAATCTCCATAGTTTAAGCCACCCAGTCGGTGGTACTTCATTATAGCAGCCTAAGCAGACTAACAAATTAGTGTACAGCGATAGGTTGTCTTCTCTTTCATATTTGAGAAATCCTTTGCCAAAAGGATCCTCAGAAGAAAGCGACCTTTAATATGTCTAATAGATGCCTTGCTCCCCTTTAGTCTTCAAGAAAAATTTTTTTTCCTTTTTTTCTTTGCTAATAAAATAAACAATATCACAGGAAGAAAAGTCTTCTTTTTTCCCCCCTTAAACTTACAATCTACAATCCAAATTTAAGATAGCTTTTATCTTGGTAGAATTAACAAAAAACTACAATTTTTATAGTGGTTGAAGAAGTGACTAGTCTCTGTGATTCTCTTCCTCTTCCCTCATCTTGTCACACCACACGTTTGCAAGGTGGTTTCCACAGTACCTCTGGATATCCCCTGAGATCAGAACAAGAGGAAGGGGAGAGGCTGTATCAGCAGCACGCCTACCTTCTTACAGGAAAAGCAAGAGGTTTCTCCCAGAAGCTACCAGCAGACTTCCACTTGTCTCCTGGCCATAATCGTGTCACAGGCTCAAATCTAGCTGCAAGAGGGCCTGAGAAAAGAATTATTTATTTTATCCAGTTCCCATTTTGGGGTGACAAAGAAGAGGAATGCAAATATCTGTTGGGTTAGTCATTGGTGTTTGCTATCCAGGGAACTGGAAGACTGGACTGGCAGATGCGCTAATTCTAGAGCAAGTCCTCCAGTTACAGGGTTAATCCTTTACGTTTCATAATTGAGCTAAGGCCTTCAGCCACCAGCTGACTAACACTAACACCTCTTTGATTACAATCAGCTAGGTTACGAACATTACATTAGGATATTTCCAGTCTATACCTATTCTCACCTGTATCTGTTTACAATAAAACACTGCCTTTCACCTACTGAGTATACACTGGCTGCATTGTTTTATATGATGTCTGTTTTGTGTGGAGACAATGACACTGTTCTACTTTGCTGTCCATGATAAACATGAAGTGGCAAGTGGTGCCTGTTCTAACCTGAGGCTATGGTGAAAACTATAATCTGAGTTGATCGATACTGTGCTCTGGCCAAGAACCTACCCATAGCTTAGCACTAGCTAGCACTTCTAAGTTTGCATTCCATATTCACTGATCGTACTAAAAGGCATCTTTTCAAGGGAAGAATAATTTAACTTCGTGTAATTACTGGCATCACTTAATGGTGCAGCACAGGCTCTGACGAGTTCTTACCTAATGTAGTCTAAGCTATCATTCAAATCTGAGACTTTATCAGAACAAAAATACACATGTCCTAACAGAAGAACTTGAATAGGGAAGAAAATTGGTGTTGAGAAAAATAAGATAGAAAAATAAGGTCCTATCTACTATATAAAAGCATAACCCATGAGACTCTATATAGCAGCTACAGGTGAGCAATTTGGCTTAGAGCTGCCCAAAAAACAAAGCAAAGAAAAAGACAGTAATAGACTCCGTAAGACAAAAACAAATCAAGTGTTTAGGAGAACAGGTTTTACAGCACTGAGACCTAAGAGAATTTTCTCTCATGTGTCCTCATAAAGAGCACACCATGTGATACAGCCGCTATCAGCCTTAAAAACACATGTACTGAGAATACAAGTTTTGATGCTTGTTTTTGCTAATGGAAGCCAAAGGCATAGAAGCCAAGTGCAACACAGTAAGGTCATTCTCTGAAGAGCTGAAATGTGGATCAAATATATCTCCCAGAGGATAAAATCCGGATTCCTGTCTTTACCAGATGGAAATACAAACTTGTTTTAACATACCCCAAAACTCCTCTATTTCTGTAAGTAAATAAAATCCACTTTAAAACCAGATAAATTATTCTGAGACCCAAGGCCTCTGCTTCCTTCTAATATCACAAACAGTTGAAGGAGACTACACAGATGATTTATCTGAGGAACGTGGTTTTCTAAAGAAATGTGCTTTAGACACCTAACCTCGGTATAGCAGACAGATAAAACATTTTAAAATTCTAAGTTTTATGGTTGCACTAGCTATACGTGAACTTAATTTTTAAAATATTATCCACAAGTGTTTTGTTTCAGTTCTGTTCAATTTTTTTATTGATTACATTTGAAGTGCATTGCACCTATTCACAGAGACTTAAAATAATCAGTAATATGAAGTGTAAACTTAAAAAGAAAATCACAGACTCATTCCACATCTGTGAAATGCAGCAGTTAACTATAATTAAATTTATAATAATTGTAAGGGATAAGGAGAACACAGAGACTGGAGGGGGAAAAATGGTATTCAACATCTGAACAACACAGCTACTGTTGTACTGAAAAAATAATTTATTAAATGAATATAATACTGGGAATAAAATGCATTATAAAAGTAAAAAAAGGAAATTCTAAATATAAATAATAGTGGTTTACCTAATTAACAAGAGTTTTTCTTCACTCATCCAAAAACTTTTAATACAATCTTCTGAAAGGCCAGATTTTAAAAGTGTATGGTTGGGGGCCTGCCCGGTGGCGCAAGCACTTAAGTGTGCATGCTCCGCTGCGGTGGCCCGGGGTTCACCAGTTCGGGTCCCGGGAGTGCACCAACGCACCACTTGTCAGGCTATGCTGTGGCGGCGTCCCATATAAAGTGGAAGAAGATGGGCGTGGATGTCAGCCCAGGGCCAGTCTTCCTCAGCAAAAAAAAAAAAGAGGAGGATTGGCAGATGTTAGCTCAGGGCCGATCTTCCTCACACACACACACACACAAAAAGTGTGTGGTTCACTTTAAAATACACATGTAGCACATATAATATCTGGAATTTAGCAAAGATCATCTTGTTTAATTAGACTAAAAAATGATACTCATTAATTTAAATGATTGTTCTTTTTGAACCTTTTTTAAGCCCAGGATAATATTTTGAAATGAACAAGTACACAAATTTATTGTATTCTTTCTGACTCCCAGGATAGTAAACACATTTCTAATACACTTTGGGGCAAAGGTTCCAAGACAGAGCATACCTGTACATTCTGAAGAAGACTTTTAAAATTTTTGGTACTTTGGTAAAAAGCAGTCTCCTTTTTAGATCAAAGGTTAACAATGACTATCGGATCTGTTACTCGACATCAGCAGAATTTTATACAACCACATCTTAATATATACATCAAGAGAACAATAAACTTTGAGACAGTGAAGAAAAAAAATAGGAGATTGTTATTCTATTTCCCCAGTAAGTTTCCCTCAGTGTTTAGAAAGCATACGCAGTTCAAAATGCAAGCATGATTACAATGCTTATTAACAATATGCAAAACGGCAGAACCAAAACAAATGAGTAACTTCATAGTATAAAAATGAAACAAGGCACTTTCAACAACTAAATGCAAAGCTGAAATAAACATTTTTTCATAAAGCTGACTCACAGACCCTAGGAGACTTTTGTAAAAAGTGAAATAGTAAAGGCACTACACAATTCTTTACCCTAACTCCACTTGCTAAAGAAATTTACCAATTAAACTTGGCACAACAGTTTAATTATCATAAAGTGCATCACTTGGCTAAATATAAATTTAAAAGAAAATCAGCCATAATATATTATAGCAACATATTCACATATATAGAAATAAAAATGCAATGCCAGGAGTCAATATAGTTAGGAACTTTGTAGTATATATGGCTTTTTATTTTTTTTGTATAACTCTCTATTTGCTTAGAATCTATAATATATTTTCGAAAGAGTATGCCTTGATTAGCAAAAAGAGGTAGTGTCCTGAGAGGCAAACTCACTAATTCTACAGGTAGAGATTTAAGATAAAGACTACCTGGAAAATAAACAAGTATAACATATTATAATAAACTGGACACAGGCTATTTTGATATTACTGAATTAGCTTTTAAAATCCAAGCTATTTTATCACTTTAGCTGTGTTATTACAGGTCTTTCAAATAGTTTTCCTTTGGTACTAGAAAGTTATCCTCTTTTAAATAACAGTAACATTCCAAATAAGCAATTTTTATTTAGAGATGGTAAATATGTCAATATTTAAAACTCAATTCAGCTTTACCACTGATTTTAACCATTAATGAAAATATATCATGTCAGAGATACGAAGAAGTATATGTCAACCAGGCAGCAACATGCAATTAATTTCCATTTGACTAATATAACTGGTGATTTAAACACACACACAGGTGTATGCATGCACACAGGTTAGTTTGGAGCAATACATTGTTAGAACACCAAAATAATTTATGCACAGTATTTAAGAATGTGGGCCTTGATAACAGAACTCTATCTAGATTTTTGTTTAGTGTATTGACTACGAAGGTTGGATAAAAGACACTTTAAAGCAGCAGTGAATAGACTTCCTATCCCCATAACTTAAAAAACCTTTTCTTTATGTAAACTTGATACATGTGCATTCTTGTTGTTTTCTGTAAATGCTTCAGTCTTTTTTTCTTTTCAAATATTTGCCATTCTGTTCTACATTTGCTGAAATGTAAAAATGGAAGGAACTGCTTGTGGTGTATTAGTCTTCTTCAGCACTATATGCCACTTCTGCTACTTCTATCTCAGATAGAGAATTCTCAGGTTCACCAAAATTTAAGCATGGCTTATCATCAGCTCTGCAAAAAAAGAGAAATGTTCAATGAAGAGACTGGATGCATGCTATTTCACTTCACTACCACCTTTAAAAATCTTTTACCTTATGTAAAAAATATTTATATATTCAATTAGAAATTTAATATTTTTAAGTTGCCATTGTCAGATAACACCTTTGGAGATCTATTTTTAACTCAGCTCTCCCAACTACCATTTATCAATAAAAATCTAGTTTGTAATCACCTTTACCAATATAAAATTTGTTCTTATGATTATAGCTAACTAGTACCACTAATGTATTAATAATTACCTTGGATTTATATGCAATAAAAATTCTACATGCTTTCAAATATACTATTTTTTCATCATTCCTATTAGGTAGGCAGGGTGGTTGCTGTTACAGTGTCCCACCTTCTGAATGGGAAAAGAGTGACACTGAGGGAGATTAAAGTAATTTGTCAAGATTTACAAATTAATGAACTAACTCAGTCACAGCCCAGTTAATTCAGATATAGCTTCAAAGTAAGTAATAAGAAAACTTACAGCCTGGACGCCAAAGGCTTATATTTTATGGACAGCCTAGAATATCTATAGTCTTTCCCTGTCTGCTCAGCAGATTCATGATACAATAACACTGAGTTCATAAAAAGTACCCTATAGAGTAGTATTACGACAATCTCCCTCCAGTTATTCAGAGGATTAGGTTACAATAAACTAGACATTACATACCCAGATTCTTCATCCAAGACATCTTGATCAACCTCCAGCGCAGAGGACTCCACCTTTAGGATCTGTCCGTCTTCTATTGCTGACACGTGCAGTGATTCTTCAGGTTCTAAAGACAGTGTTCTAAAAGTAAATTACAGCAACGAGTTATTTTCTTCTTAAATATCTTCTTGAATAAAATACATACATGTTTATTGTTGTGAATACATGTAGCTTTAGTAGTCTTCAGTTATGAAGTCTTAATTAGTCATATGACTAATAAATTGCTGACTCTGGGAGTCAACAGAAAAACTAATTGTTATAATTAATTTAAAATCATTTTAGCGTCAATTCAATACATGCTGATGAGAAGGCAAACTAGAACTTCCATATGTGAAAAGCTGGCGTAAAGGCCCAGAAACAAAGACAGCCTTTAAATAGGTTAAAATGAATAACGTTTATCTTGTTGAGCAGCTAGAGGCCTATGTTCCTGATGTTTCCCAGCCTTCAAATGTTCAGCCTCCTAAATAATCAAAAGACAATTTTCCCAGTCTACGAGGAAGTACTCCAAGAGTCTATGACTTTTGGAATCAGAAATGTCCTAAATCATATGAAAATACAAAGGACATTCAGCCCAGAGTACTGGGAGCTGAACGAGTCAGACCGAAAACGCAGGTGTCTCCACCCACCGGATTCTGTTCTCCAGAGCGTCTATATGACGCTGCTGCTCACTGAGCAGTTTCTTCAGTGATTCCACCTCTTTTTGTTTTTCAAGTAGTTCTTTTTGAAAACGGTAGTTTGTCTCTTCTAAAGTTTCACAGAAAGCCTTAAAAACAAATAAAAATCACATGTGGAAAAATAATATAATTAATTACTTATGCAGTTTGTTTCTCAAGAGCACTACTGAAGAGTCAAAGAACATGGATAATCAAAATCATACGTGCGCAACCCACATGATTTGTTCTCTCCCAGCTTAGGTCTCTGCTGTCTTGGCTCTCTTAGTCCCCACCTAACAGGGGAACTTACAACTACAAGTCCCTTTTCTTGAGAATTATTAAGCAGTAAGTCAGGGGCCCTGAAGTGAGTGTGTGATATCCCTCTACTGTAGAACTGGGAAAAAATGACTAATAGCCACTGTTTTAGTCTCTGTTCTCCTTAGGTTATTTTTGCCCGGTCCTAGATAATTTGACTTTTATAAAAAGACTGTGGCTATTGGCTCCATTTGTACCAGCTCAGCAGCAGCAACAACGGGCTCCACAGCACCTTCAACATTGCACTCCCCTTTCCCCATATTCACTCAAAACTGACATTCTATCCTTTACACCCAGGACGCTGAACACTGCTGAAATAAAGACTAAACAAAGAAACGCAGTCACGCTACCATGAAGAACGATGCCATGAAAAAATTCAGGTCCGTTACCTCGATGAGGCTTTCAAGTGTTGCTGATCAATTCTCTGACTTGTTCCCAGTTATCACTCTCTGTCTCCTCTGTGACTATCTGAAGGCTTCAAACCCAGCGAACCCCCTACAATATGCTGCTACTGCTGATCCCAAGCCCTGCAGATGATCCTGATTCCCACACCAGAAAAAAAATCACTGACTCCCAGAATCCTAATTACATTGGCATCCTGTTCCTGTCTCAAGAACACGTAACTCTTCAAGTTAAGCCCTATCTTCTTTGGAAGCTTGCTCTATCACTTACACATTACACACTCTCTCAAATTTTCAACCTTTTCTCCTCTTTTGACCCTTAAGATTACTTAATCAACTTGATTGAAGATGATTAAGTAAATTCTAAAAATCTCTCCATATAAAAACAAAATCATCCCTACCACTTTCCTGATCATGAGTCTCTCTAGCTACTAACTCATCTCCCTCTTTTCAAAATGAAAAAGTTTTCCATGAAAAATGTTTTTTTTATCACCCAAATTTAGCTCCCCATTTACTTCTAAAATCATAAAACTAGAGTTTTACTCTCTTTTTCTCTAGTTATGTTCAGGCAAAGGCTAACAATGACCTTCTAATTGTCAAATCCAAAGTACTGTTTTTCACGACTTCACAGCCATGTCACTACTGACTTGAAATTTTTTTTTCCCACTTGAATGGAATCCTCTTTCATTGGGTTCTGTAAAACTTCTCGGTTCCCCTTCTTACTTTGACAGTTCCTTCTAGCCTTCTACTTTTTCCTTGCATGTGGGCATTCCTCAGAGCTTTGTCCTTGACTATATATCCTCTGGCTCTATATGCCCCTCTAGGCAATTACACTTATGTTATCACTTCAGCCATTATGTATACCATATGCTATCGACTTCCATCGTTTTGTTGTTGTTAATCTCCAGCCCAGACCTTTCCTGAGTACACAGACATCATTCACATGCCTACTGGTCCTCTTCACTTGGATGTACCAATGGCAAGTCAAATAGCATTCCCAAAAGAATATCTGCTCTATGGCCTAATCATCAGAGCCACCAGGCAGGCATCTTGGATCATCCTTTTCCCTAATTTCTATGGCCCAACGGTAACCCAGTCTTGCCCACTTTTCCATTCTCCTCCTCCCCCATTGCCTCATCTACATCTCTTGTGGTTTTGTCACTTTACTCTCTATACTCATTTCTCCTGTTTTTGGTTCTTAACCAACTACAACACCAGTAAACTAACTGGCTTACCTATGTTTACTCTGGCACTCTTCCAATTCAAGCTGGTTTTCTTAAAAACAGATCTTATCATGTTACCTATGATTCAATACTGCCTAAGGGTAAGGCCAAGTATCTTACCTTGGCAAATGAGGTACCTTGTGATGTGATATATGACTTTCACCCCAACCTCACAGCTTGCTCTATTTACCTTTCCCTTCCTCTGATCCTCCACATACCCCATGTTCCAACCAAACCGAACTATTTTTCAGTTTCTCAAATATTTGTTTTTATATAGATGGGAGTAGATAACACATATCATTCTGTGGCTTGGTTTTCCAACTAACCACATAAGATGAACATTATAAACATTCCCAAATTTAAAAATTTGGGTATATTCACATTATAAAAAAATGAAGTTTTCAACTATCATCAAACAGAACACAGAGAAAAACAAAGTAAATAAACCACAAATCACTTCCATTGATAACAATATGGTTGATTAGATTAAAAACGAAAGCCTCCAGCCGTAAAATATCTAGCTAAAAACCCAACTTTTTAAGTAGCTACGAGGGCAAGAAACAAAGGCAAATCTCAGGGGGAAAAATGAGAAGAAATGAAAACAAGTGCATGAGCACGTGCACTGACCCTACAGCTGCAGGGAGTGGGAGAAGAACGAGCTGAGCAGAGGCTGCTTTTTAGTAACCTTGAACCTGGAACACCAGGATGGGACAAGAGACGAGTCAGGCATATTTTGGGGCCAGTGACAAGAAATGAGCCACTCAGGAATAAAGCAGGGGTCCTAAAGAGCTAAGTTATTAATAAAAGTCACTTATCAACACAGGGATACATCAAGAAAGACTGTCTCATCCTGGCCTCTAGGTGGGGCAGGTAAAGTCTTCCCTGAAGAAGGGCCAACCATGGGCCAATGCCTCACGTGGATTCTGTCTTTGAATTTATACTATCCCAATCAGCCAGAAACACCCACGCTGAGAAACCAGCATAAACAATGGTCCAGGACCAATGATACTCAAGGTATCTCTGCAGAGGCAAACAGGAACGTTTGTGGAAGGATATACCCTTGACCTCGGCTATACAGAGTTCCTGCAAAGTTCTAATTAAAGTGAATTTACAATTCAAAATTACAAAACACACTAGGAAAACCATCCAACATAAAACAGTGAACAGACCCAATAAACAGAAGGATCAGGATCCCATAAACTTCAGATAACATAACTACTGGACAGAGACCATAAAATATGAACATGTATAATGACTTGCAAATATCTTTTAAAAGCCACTATTAAGAAACATCAGGTATACTGAGATAAACCAAATAGAATGTTAAGACATGAAAAATACAGTCAATGACATTAAAATATTAACAGAAGGATCAAACAGTAGAATAAGCCTGTCTGAAGACAATACGGTAAATTGGAAGCTAGAACTAAGAAAATTACCCAGAATGAAGCACAAAGAGATGGAGATGGATGCTTTGAAGGAAAGGTTAAGACAGACAGACAAGGAAAATAACTAACATATATATTTATAAATAGAATTCTAAAAGGAGAGAACAGAGACAATGAGGAGAAGCAAGACTTGGTGAGAAAATAGCAGAGAACTTTCAGAACTGATTAAACACTAGCATTTTTAGATTTGGGAAGAATAATGCATCCCAAAGAAGACAAAAATAAATATCACCCAGATACAAGATAGTGAAATTGCAAATGCCAAAACCAAAGACAAGATCTCTAAACCACCAAGAAGAAAAAGCGGTTTACTATAAAGTGACAACAATGAACTGAGCGTAGATGTCTCCCAGCAGTGGTCTAGGTCCAAGGCAGTGGACAACACTGCAAAGCACTGAGAAAAATGACTATCAACATAGAATTCTAGGTTCAGCTAAATCATACTTCAAGAATGAGAGCAAGATTAAAAAAAAGTCAGACATCAAAGACCTAAACATCACCCACACACATTCACTGAAAGAACTATTAAATGATGCACTTTAAGAAGAAGTGAACTGAACCCCAATGGAGAGAGTGAGATGAAAGAATTCAGAATGGTGGAGAAAGGAAGTGGTGAACATGCAGCTAAATCAAAAGAAATGTCAACTCTATAAAACGTGATAATGGCTAACTTGTAGGAGAGCTGTAAAACTTGGTTCTAAAATACTTGATGAGAAAAAGATATGACTATTAAATAAAAGACAGTGAATACAGAACTTACAAACCAAGAGTAGAGAAAAAACAGAAGAAAGAAAACTCATTAAACATATAAAAAGGAGAAAAGGAAAAAAACAGCACTGAAAAACCAGGGTAAATAAAAAGCACAAAATAAAATGGCAGAAATAAATACAAATATATTGGTAATTACTATAAACACCACAATAAAGTCACCAGTTCAAAAACAGATTTTTTCCAATTGTATCAAAAAACAAAAATCTACCTCTCTGATGCTTACAAGAAACACACTTAAAATATAAAGGTAGAAAAAAACCTATCGGGCAACAGGCAAATCTGCTCCTCCTCCCCCAGAAAAGTTGTTTTATTACTGTCAGACAGAATGCATTTCAAGGTAAAAAACATTATTAGGCACAAAAAGAGTCACTATCTAATAATAAAAGGAATTATTCACTGGGAATATTTCAACTACATAATTCCAAGGAGAAATTTAATAAATCCGCAACCATAATGAGTGGATTCAATATACTACTTTTGGTAATTAATAGATTAAACAGGAAAAAACATCAGTAAATATTTTAAAAATTTAAACAATTAATAAGCTTGATCTGACAGATATACATTGAACCCTCAGCATAACAATTAGGAAATGCATATTCTTTTCAAATACACAAGAAAATTTAGAAAATTTATCATATATGCAGATTGCGAAGATTACAAAGCACTGCCTCAACAATAACAAAGAATCAGTGTCATAGAGAATATACCCTGACGAAAATGCAAATAGATGAAAAAAGTCAATGACAAGGAAAAATTTACAAAAGTTTAAGAAATTTAAGAGAACTCAAAATTTATGGAGCAAAGAAGATGTTATAAAGAACATTACAAAATATGAATGATAATGAAAATACTACTTATTAAGACTTGTGACATATTGTTAGCATGTAACTCAAAAAGAAATTTATAGTTTAAAAGAACGTGTTAGAAACAACTGAAAAAGTATCCAATT